TTTTTTCTGTATTACACCTTTTTTTCTTGTTTCACAACAACACGGGGGCCGGGGGTTGACGTCCATTTCAAAATTATTAGTTCTCTTTTTATTTTTAATTTTTGTTTTTTTGTCCGAAAAAAGCAAAAACATTGGTTTTGGGGTGTTCTTTATAATTTTTTTTCCTTTTAAAAAAAATTTAATATTTTTATTTTTTTTTTTTTTTTTTAAATTACCCTTTTTGCTCTTGCTCTTAAGTTAAGATTTTTAAGTAAGGAAACTAATTAGTTTCCTTTTTTATTTAAGACTGAGTAAAGGTTATTATTATTGTAATTGTGCTGTAGTTTTCTAATAAAAATAATATATAAAAGTTTAAGGAGTATTTCCACAAAATTCGAAATTAATTACAAACAACTTATTGTATAATGTAAATTACTTGTTGGGTTATACTTTTAAGAGATAAATTCGATTTTTGAGCAATTTTGAATTAGAATATATAAGTCAATTCAGTCACACTTTGTCAAGTATGAATAGGACCAAAAGAATGTAAGTAAAGTTGTTGGTAGACTTGCTTTATATGTTGTTGTAGTTAATGATCATTACTCGACTCCAAAGTCCCCGGAAATATACATGACTTATCTATCTATCTATCAAAAAGTTTAAAATATTGTTTTAGGAAAAATTGTTTTTTAAGGGTTATTAACCTACTAAAGAGTACATTATGATTTATAACCCCTGGTAATGAGGTGATTGCTACCATGCAGTTTCTAACTCTGGAGGCATAGAGCAGAAGTGCAAAGACAACAATTTCCCTTATAAGATGCATATACATGCTTGTTTCGAGAGTTATTACTAATCATCTTGCAGGCAGTCTTTATGACTTCCAGCTCCCCGAATAGCCAGTTTCTGAAAAGGTACCATTAGCACCATTGACCACATTCAACCTCCTTTCGGCAAATTGTACAGAAAACCAAGGAGTACAATCTGCCACTGTCTTGCATATGTGGATTATGAGAAAGCCTTTGATTCTGTCAAAATTAGGGCAGTGCTGCAGTCTCTTCAGCTGTGCCAAGTGGACTATTGGTATATAGAAGTGCTGAAGTGATAGTACAGTAGGGCTATGATGGCTATCTGAGTACAGAACTAGAGTATGAAACATATCCTACTGCAGAAAGGTGTAAGGCAGGGCGACATTATATCCCCAAAAGTCTTCACCGCTGCATTTGAAGACATTTTCAAGATGGACTGGAAAGGATTAGTTATTAACATCAATTGCATGTATGTCACTCACCTTCGATTTGCCGACGATATAGTTCTTATGGCAGGCTCAATGTCCTCAATGTTGTCTTCCAATGGATAGGTCTTAAGATGAACACGGATAAAACAAAGAACATGTGTAATGTCCATGTCACACTTATTCCGTTAGTTGTTGGGAACACTAAGCTTGAAGTTGTTGTGAGTATGTTTACCAGGGAGTATGTTTGTGAATATGTTTACTCCGACTAGTAAGTCTTAACTTCGACGGACCAGGTCAATTGACAGATCCAAATTGGCTAACAGCATTCGGGACATTAAGACACATCTCGGCAGGTATATGACTTATGGATCTGAGACGTGGTCCTTCATTGCGGGTCGTATGTAGAAGCTCAAGGCCGCTCAGTGAGCTATGGAGAGGGCTTTGCTCAGGGTTTCTCTGCGTGGTAAACTTAGAAATGAAGATATCTGCAGTAGAACGAGAGTGACCGATATAGCCCAACGGATTAATAACCTGAAGTTCCAATGGGATGGCCATATAGCTCAAAGAACTGAAAACCAATAGGGTAAAAAGATTCTTGACTGGCAGCCTCGTACTGGTAGGCGAAGTGGAGGGTGACCCTCCACTAGATGGAGTGACGACGTGGTAAGACATGCAGAAAGTTGATGGATGCAGGTGGCTAAGGACCATGCTTTGTGGCATTCCTTGAGGAGGCCTATGTTCAGCAGTGGACTTGTGAAAGGCTGTAATGATGATGATGTTGATGTTTCTAAATGTTTTAAACTTAATTGTATGGAATATTTATTTTCTATTATAAAATCCCACTGGGTTTTTTGGTGTTTCTTACCAGGACAGATTTTTTCTAAACCAGTGGCATAACATAAATGACTTTCAATGATTATTTTTTTAATCTATATTCAATAAAAATGATTCTATTATATTCTAATAACTTAAAAATATTATAATTATTTTTTTTACTAATATTGTGATTTATACTAGGTTGATTAATAGGTTTTTCTAATAGGACACTTATCAATGAGTTATTGAAATGCCTTCTACGTATTTCGAATCTTAAATTCGTTAGTGAAAAAAGTAAAGTTACTGGCTATATACGTCCCACTGCTGGGCACAGGCCTCTCCTCATTTCTGAGAGGGTTTTAGGGCAAGGAAGTGTCCGCCGCGCTGCCCCAATGCGTGTTGGCAAACTTCGCATGTCTTCGCAATATTTTTTTTCTTATTCCTCAGACATGCAGGTTTTCTCACGATGTTTTCCTTCACCGTCGAGCACGTGGTAAATCAGCGCTTAAAATTGCAATTAACAATTTCATTGTTGCCGGCGGGTATCGAACCCGGGTTACTCGCGTTCTGTTATATTTACAGCGAGCGTTAACCATCTGAGCTGCCACGGCTCGCAAATTCGTTAGTAGCCAAGGCCAATTGAAATATAATATTAGTCCAGGAGGAATCGGCGCATGAGTGGCGAAAACTATTCTCTCAATTTTTTTATACGATTCTCTTCAAATTGTCCTACTGATGATTGATTGATATAAATGCATGTTGCAATGGGTATCGTAACGAAATTGCTAAAACAATTGAATGGAATTTTTATTTACAAACGGGAGAAATTATATTAAATTTTTTGATAAAGTAATTATTCTTTTACGATAAAGTTAATATTTTGGGAGTTATAAATTTTTAAATAGTCTAAGATCCCGATATAAAACGACCTTCACCGAGATGCTTATTTAATGAAACGTATTTTATATTTAATTTAATATGTCAATAAATATAATCCATATGGGTTGCCTAGCAAATTTCAGTCCAGAGTATGTTTAATTAATAATTAAAAAAAAAATTATTTTTTTAAACATTTCACCGGTATGATTATTAGATAAATTCTATACCAATCGAAAGTATGAAACCCATAGAATATGCAAACGTTAGGTTGCCTATTCTTTTCCGGTCACAACTATCGGGTTGCCAGGTATAAACAGGTAAATCTGTTTTAGCATTTTGCAACGGTCTGTTTATTGAATGAAATTTAAATGAAATTAAAGATTATTTTAGTCTGAACACGGTGGTATAGGGTTGCCTGCGAAAAATCAGTCCAGAATTGCGGTTGTCGAATTTTAAAAAGTAAAATATTGCTCCGAGTGAATGTGTCAAATCAGTGTCATCAATCAATGTCAAATCAATTAATTGCTTAGGAATGTCACATTCTACACGAATGACATCATCAGCAGTTATGTTGCGAGAAAGCGGATGAGCATCTATATATTTAATGCAGCTTCTCAAATAATATGCTACATTTTCAAACTCATAATCATTTCTTGTCTCCAAAAGTTTGAAAGTGTTTGCCATTACAGAGACGTCCATGTCTATTTTATACACAATTTTTTTTGTTACGTATTCCCATTGACGCTTCAATCGTAATACGATCATCGAATTTCATTAATTTTTTTGCAAGGTTTCACTTCGGTAATCTTGAATATTGTTACGAGCTTGAGGTTCGTGACAATAAAAATTGCCGATAAAATTACCTAAATTAACACTTTAATTTACTTTACACAAATTAAAACTAAAAACACTAATAATTAAACACACTAATTCACTTAATTCCGCTCCGAAGCTTCGCTTGTGTCGCCGAGTTCAACTCTGCCTCGATCGCATCTTGCAGCGCCTATTTATGTAATTAGCAAAGAAGCGTCCCGAACATTCACGTAAATGCGCGCCAGGCAACGAGTATTCGAGTGTAGATTTTCCAGAAACTTAGTTCTTCGGGTGGCGCTGTCGGTCGAAAGATTTGTGATGTCATTTTCTCAATGCTCCCCTCGCTCTCGTTCCTGACACTAGATGGCGCTAGTTTATCGTCGACTTGAGCGCGTAACAATATCATCGAAATCAATTTCATGATTTCCAAACTCTAACAATAAAGCTTGGTATCTTAAAAATAATTAAGCCAAGTACATAACCTTGTTGTTTTCAATTATTTCTGTTTCAATGAAATTCGATATAGATTGAAAGGCCAACTGATGTAACTATCTATATTTACTATAGTTGGAATGGGTAGATTCTTCCGTGGAACGCTTATTTTTCGATTGATAAACTGGGTAACAAGGCAGATGGTACGCGATAGTTTGATGTTGAAGTTTGGAGAGAATCACCGAATCGCCAAAATTTTGCGTTATATTTTTTATCTGTAGTGTTACTAAACTCGTATACTTTAGATGCATTAGTTACATATATAATGAAAAATAAAATATAATATATAATGAAAAAGAATAAAATAGAAAACATATTTTTTTTATATTCTTTGATGAAATACGGATAAAAAAGGCCATTGGAAGGTGAAAGGAAATTGTTTAAACAATTTTGGTTTAAACAATATTGCACCGAGTTGCCCCATTGCAACGTGCATTTATATCATTAGTAAGAAAATTTGTAGAGGCGCACAAAAATAGTAGTAGATGGAATAGTTTTCGTTATTCATGCGCTGATTCCTCCTGGACTTAATATTGATACAGAAAAGGTGCCATGTAGGAATTTATATTTTAAAATATTCTTTTTAAAATATAACATATTAAAAGTTGTATTTTAAAAGGAAATTGATATACCGAATATTTTTCAATCATTAACGATGTTACTCACAACTCTTCAAGTTGATATCAATAAAAATATTGTAGACAATGCGTTTGCTTCCTACCTGTACTGAGTCAGCGTGTTATCTTTCGCGTGTGACGTTTTCCCGCGATTTGGCGGCAAAACGTCATATCGCACAGGTGCGCGGCAGTTGGGCGCCGCGCTTGCCCGCGAGCGTTTGTGCGCGCGTCGCCATGAGCGCGTCGAGCATATCGAGCTCGCCGAGCGTACCGAGCTCGCCGAGCGTACCGAGCACTCCGAGCCACTGGCCTGCCGCCATGTTACGCCGAGGCTCGCGACGTCTCCTTCGCCTTAAGTACCGTGTTCCACCGGTCGCTCTGCCCACCGCCATGCCGACAGTGCTGCCCACGGACATCGATGACACGGTCTCTTGCTTCTGCAGGTGCGCACCAAATGCCATCCTTGCTATTCCATCGTTGCCTTGACCATTCTAAACGATAAACACTTCGCCACCTGCGTTCAATGTACAGCAAAGGAATGGAATAATTATTTGCCGGCGTTTGTCGTTCTGTCCGAATAATAACTGCGCGTCTTCAAGGCAAGAGTGATTAAGATTTTGTTACGCTAAGACAGTGCGATTTACCATTTATGGCTTCATCACCGCTTACCACCGGGTGGGATTGTGCTCAAACGCTGGCTTATAATAACTAAATGGAAAATTACAGATTTTCCTTGAGGAACAAACGGCTGTAATAGTTTTGCGTGAGTCTCGCGACAATGTGTGTAAACACGAAGTAAGCGCGAGCCGCGAGCGTGCGCCCGATTGATGGCGAAATCCTCGCCGCTTATCGGCCTTATCGCCTCACCTGTGTGACGTCACGCCTGTGTTATTTCAATGAAATTATCATACACTTCGATTGCTCAGAACTTGTGCTGGGTCTATTGCTCATGACATCGTTCCGCTTGAAATATTACTGTCAAGTTTTACGGCTCCATGGCGGCAGTGCCTAAGGGCCGAGGGTTCGAAATCCGAATGGAACAAGTATTTGTATGGTGTAGAAATGATTGTTCCGGGTTTGGATGTTTGTCGTTGTGTAATTTATATTTGTTAACTGCCTCCATGATACAAGAGAAAATCGTAGTGTGGAGCTGTGGAGGTAACGTTTTCTAAGATTAAAAAAAAGAAACGTATGATATATCTCACGCGATTGAAGACAGTTATCTTCCGGGGGCATGTTGCACACTCGCATCGTATTTATTCAAAATAAATGCGTCGGATCTCGCTGCTTGAAGTAATTAGTTTGTTCTAGTTGTGACGTTTCTTATTGTAGTAACCGGGCATGGCGCGGGCGCGGCTACACTGATTGTAGCCACTTGACTTCGCCGTACTGTTAATTGTGCCACTTGCGCACACTCACACACGCGTGCCACTTTCTGACCTCTCGGCGGTGGCTAACAATTCATTGCCAATTGTATGCTTAAAATATGATAAAATACGTCTTAAAGCCTCATGGCATTGTTGTTCATGTACATGATCTCGTTAGGTGGCGTGATTTTCTGCGGGTGTAATATTTATTGACATCGCTAAGCACCGTATAGTGGTGGTGTAAGTACTACATTACATTACATACACTACCCCATATCGTCCCGTGAATGTCGCAAGATGCGTCAGAGGAAAATTGAAACAGGTTATGTGTACCAGCATCTTCGTGATAACAATTCAAAAAAAAGTGCGGTTGCCAACCCACCTGTAAAGTGACAACAACGGCATAATCCCTCCTGCGCGGCAATCTCTGGGGGGGGGGGGCTGCTATTTCAGCAGTGGACTTTGGACTTTTATAGGCTGTAAGGGATGGGATGTGATGATTGGAATAATTATTTAAGCTTATACTGTACGAACAAGCAGTGCATTAATTATATAGTTTTAGCCATCTTTAAACGTACGATTTATGTTTTCTTTATTTCACGATTTGACTACGACCAGCACGTTCGATTCGTATGGAACCTTGGGCGTTTTAACACATTTGTCATCGCGTAGCACGTTCGTCCTCGTGGTGGAAAATTACGGCTCGACTCGACGATGTTATGTAGGTTTCATTACAAGTCGTCTCCGTAATAAATCAATGTGTCAGTGCTTAGATCCCTTACTTTGTAAGTAGAACTTTTTAATAAGCATCGGTCAGCCACTGTATATCTTTGATACGCTGTTATGGCTGGCTGTTGCTCCACTCAGTCGAGTCTTTGCTGTGATCCAATGAGGGAGTTTACGCACTAGATGTCGCTATCTGGGAGTGAGGTGAATTTATTTCTTTGTTATACAATGTTATAATACCAATTATTGGTTTTTCGATTGTGTAATACACAAAACAATGTTTTTGTGGTTTGCTTTGTATTTTTTTTTTGAATTTTTTTTGTAACGCTTAATTAGTTTTTAGTTTTTATTCTTTTTATCCCTAGTTTGGTTTATCAATTTCTAATCTAATTCATATAAAATATACAGTATAATCTCACTAATCCGGCACTCTTAAAATCAGAGGGTGCCGGATTATTGGAATGTTCGGATTACTGGATTATACGAAAAAATCATAATGAATGAAATAAAGCATTTCATAAGGAATACATTATGTACATAGTTTTAAAATAATCCTTAATTGAGGTCTGCTTTTGTGCAACTTACAGTCCTTGCTTAAAAACCTTTTCTCGCATGTTTTGAAGAAATATAATATCTTTTGCAGATATGCCGTTTTCTTTTGCCCATGTAATGCAGGCATTGAAACAATTAAATGCTTCATCTGGTTTAAGGGGATATAGTAAGTCAGCTCAAATTCTAATTTCGCCCCCACTTCCCCGCGCGTCGTATGCTATGTACCGACATGTTTGTAATCACTAATACTGTAAGTAGATAGGTCGTTAGATACTTATTTCATTAGGTTTATCATATTTATGCCTGTTTCTTAACGCCAAGCCAGTCGCTTCTTATTTTAATTACGGTTATTTCCAATTTTAATTTTACGTCGTCCTGTTGCGTAATGTATATTCTGATCGTAAGCGACACAACCTCCCCGTTCAAAGGCCGAAGCGAAGTGACCGTGCGGCAGGAACCACGCTTCAAGAGGCCGATAGTTTAGGTAATTTCTTTTTACAGTGAAAATAATGGCTTTTTAAAAAAAGTAAATAACATAAGCACTGCTTTATAGTTAATTCAGTTAGTATGCAAAGTTTCACGATCTTATTTAAAGTATTTTATGAATAACAGCGGTTTATTGCTTATTTTGGAGGTAACTTTAGATTTTTTTTTCTATCGAGAAAATTTTGCGAAATCGTGTTTTCGTCTAACATAATCCTTAACATTAATCCTCAACTTTACCATATATTTATTTCAAAATTAATGCTGCAATACTTTCGGCATAACGAAGGATCTTGCTAAGCCATTTGAGATTATATTTCCCCTTAACTCTTACAGTTGTAGTAGTTGGTGGCTCTAATATTTCTACAAAGGTAACTTCTTCGGTCTATTGAAGTGCTTGATTAGTTGAGATTATACTGTACTTGATATTTCAGAAAAAAAAAAACATTAACTCTTACGTTTTCTGAACACAATATGTTACTTCCCCCGGCATGAAATCACAGATATTTCACCTCATTTCTATGTGGCCCGCCCTGGTGGGGCAGAAAAAGTGTTCATCTTTGTTTCAACAACAAACATTATAGTTGCTTTTGTCAAGCTTTTTTTTTTAAATTTAGTACTACAGCAGGACCTCTTTAATTCGAACTCCGAAAATTTATCCCCCGTTCGGATTATAGTACAGAGAATCTATAGGGTATTTTTAATTGATAATACACACAAAATTGATATATTATTTTAATTGATAGGATAGTTGTTGTGTTGTCCAGCCTGTTGAAAATAATATTTGTCATGTAATGACAGTGTACATCGCGCCATGTTATCCTGTGGGTATCGTAGGTCTTGTTGCCCTTTTACCGGGAACGAGGCATTACATTTTAGTCCTTAGGGGTGCTAACTGATATCGATACGCATCTGCATTTTAATTATTAATCGAGTATAAATGTAAATGTCTATCAGAGCATTCACCTACCATCAGGTAAACTCTACCATGTATTCGTATATATTATAATTATAATAACCCTTTTTATACAGTTTTTTTTTAAATAAATTATTTTATCGTGGTAATGAAGACACATCGTATATTTTCTGGGATTTGTTGTAATTCAGAGTACATTTCCCCATCCCCATGAATGAATTTCTGAATCTGTGGAGTCGAGAAACTGGTATAAATCTACTCTACTGGTATATTTAAACCTGATCCGCTATCTGCCCGCCGTGTGTGGCGACTATAGCAAATCTACTCTACTTTGGGAGAGCATGTCCATTATAGAAGAAGACGGTAAATATCATTACTAGACACGCGGAATAAAAATTAGAACATTTTATTAAAATTAGAAGAAAAAAAAGTAACGCGTTAATTCCACTTTAAGCATGACACACAAAATATAAAAAATAATAATAAGCAAAGGGATGGATAAAACGATGTATTATAATTTTAAGAAAATACAATGAAGAAAATCCTGTTTAGCACAAAACTGCGAAAATGACCGCTCTCAGTGGTAGCATTGGTTTTCATTTACGGTCCATCTCCATACCCCGAGGCAGCTCGGGCGGCTGAGTGCACGCTCGCTCTTGATGTCAGATATTTTAAAAAAAGAAAAACAAAATTGCATTACACGTAAATAATGTTTTAGATTTGCTTTTGTCGATTGGTTTTCTGAGAGTCCGTCCGTACATTTTAACGTGGTAGAGCCACGCTGCGGTTATATTATGGTTGTAGCACGAATGGGTTGGCTCTGTTTCGTATGATGAACCTGATACCCTTTTTAGTGGAAACGAGGCATTCCATCTTTGTCCTCAGGGGTGACAACGCATTCTGCATTTTGATTCTTAACCGTTGATAGATGTAGATGTTTATGGGTCGCAGCATCCACTTACCATCAGGTGGATTGCGTGCTCGTTTGTCACCTTTATTCTAATTAAAAAAATTGCATTTGTCTCTGAGGTTACACACTGGCAATGAATCCGTGAACTGTGTCAACCTCAACACCCTGCCCGGGTCAAGCGAACTGTATCGCTTTGTCTTATGTCTACTTTGTCTACTCTGCTATGTACATAACGCAGCCAGACCAATAGCCCTTATAGGAACTTTTTATGTAAAAAATAACAAGTAAATTATAATAAAGAGAAAAAAAACCTACTGGCGTAATTTATCTTATACTAGGGACCAGCCCTGGCTTCGACTGTTTATATATGATTTAAGATAATTAAAGACTGTTATTTTTTGCTTTGTTTTTAAACATCCAAGTTTTTCGGCGGATAAAGTGTAGCTTAGATGACCGCTGACGTTGCTTTCTATCTGCGCGTAGAGTGTCATGTGTCATCTGAATCAG